GTTTGGTTTAACTTTAAAGATATACATTATTTATTTTAAGACGGTAGTTTGGTTTAACTTTAAAGATATACATTATTTATTTTAAGACGGTAGTTTGGTTTAACTTTAAAGGTATACATTATTTATTTTAAGACGGTAGTTTGGTTTCACTTTAAAGGTATACATTATTTATTTTAAGACGGTAGTTTGGTTTCACTTTAAAGGTATACAGTATTTATTTTAAGACGGTAGTTTGGTTTCACTATAAAGGTATACATTATTTATTTTAAGACGGTAGTTTGGTTTAACTTTAAAGATATACATTATTTATTTTAAGACGGTAGTTTGGTTTAACTTTAAAGGTATACATTATTTATTTTAAGACGGTAGTTTGGTTTCACTTTAAAGATATACATTATTTATTTTAAGACGGTAGTTTGGTTTAACTTTAAAGGTATACATTATTTATTTTAAGACGGTAGTTTGGTTTAACTTTAAAGATATCGTACCGTAGCGACAAGAAGTTTGGTTGCCATAGTTACCAGGCGTTCTGCCTCTCCTCGTGGCACACTACCTACTCGTTCTTGACTCCTGTTGGGAATAATAGGTAATATATATATATATATATAAACTATGAGATCATCTCTTTAAGTCGTAAGTTTATTGTATAATCTCATTTACTATACACACCACACACAAGCTATAGCAATATCTAATTAGTTATAATTTAAGCCACTAGATGGAAGACGTAATGAACTTTGTGTTGTGTGCAGACTTTTGTGACAGCAAATTAATAGAAAACACCACACTAAGTCATTTTCCACATATAAAACTGTCAACTTCAATGTGTGACGACCTATACTGGTAGGAACAAGCTTCAGTGTGTGAGGACCTGGAGTGGTTCACTCTTTAACCCGTGAGGGCATTATAATATCACGGTCAATCCCACTATTCGTTGTTAGAGAGTAGCCCAAGAATTGGCGGTGGGTGGTGTTGAATAGCTGCCTTCCCTCTAGTCTATCACTTCAAAATTAAGGACTGCTAGCGCAGATAGCTCTCGAGTAGATGTGCACGAAATTCAAAACAAACTAAACCAACACGTTTATTATACATTAGTTTGGACAGTATTTTATTGGTATAGAAATTTTATTTGACTTTATAAGTTTCATCGTACATTTGATTGGTTCCAGGACTGATAGTTCATAATAAGGTAGAACAGGAAATGTTGAACTTATCCGACATATGTTCCGTTCTAATGATTCACATCTTTCAAGTCTAGGATCTTATTAGTTTCACATCAATCCACCGCAAGCACGAGAAGAAAACGAGGGACTTTTATATTCAGTATTTCTTCAATGAAACTTTAACCCATATTTTTTATCTGATAAGTAAAATTATTTTTTTGTATTACTTATAGATGAGTGACGACAATAATAATAAAAACATATTACAAAAAGAAATAATTTGTATTTAACACCAAATTCACATCACTAGTATCTAAGTTACAGTTTACTTGTTTATCTATAAGCACAAATCTACACAATAGGCTTTCTGTGCTCTGCTCATCAAGGGAATCAAACCCCGATGTTTAGCGTTATAAGTCCTCAGATATGCCGCTGAACAACCAGGTGGCGCTCAGGTACAGATCGCAATAAACATCATATAAGAAGAACGACAGTAAGGCTTGATAACTGTCTTGCCATAAGTTGATCCATGACTTCGTATATTGTAGTGACGGTTTCTGTTGTTGGTTGGGTTTTGCTTTGTTTTTTGATTATTTTGGTAAAGAAAAAAAAACTGGATAGTCCAGTCCACTTAACTGTGACTATAAATATATTTTTAAAATTTAACTTCTACAAACTTGCTTAGTTAATGTTCGCTGTTAGGACTAAGTTTTCGATATGTGCTAATACAACAATTTGCTATATTTGTCTAGTACGTACGACACCTTCTGGTATCTTTAGAACTTAGTCACAAACACAGGTTCACTATTTACAGCACTGAACTAACTAACTGGCTGACTAACAAATTCAATCAAATAATATGTCACTATTTCAAATTCAACGTAACTTACTGATAGACTAAACAATAATTAACTGCCTTCACTAACTAGCTTAATAAACAATATAATCTACTTAAGCCTAAATCCTTTTTATATGGCTCAAATCGTTTCCTAAACTTTCAAACGTTAAGCCACACGTTCATCACGTGACGTCAAACCTCCCACTAGCTAAACAACAATGGAAACGTCAAAGTTAACATAGCATACAACAGTATAAAGATACATATCACAAAGTACTTACTGGAGTTCAGAACAATCAAATATAAACCTTATATTTCTTTAAAAAATGAATTAACAAATGTCTGTATATGAGAAGTCAATTAACATATTCAATTTAATCTCACACCTGGACACTGGCTGAAATCCTCGTTGCTGTAGGCGGACGACAGAACTTCGGTGAGGGGGGTAGAAATCGGAGGTTTTTGATGTCCCGTGGCGAGGGTAGGCCTGTTAACGATGTTGATACTGATTTAGTTTTGTGCAGTATATTACGTAATAATTTTCATTTTATTTTAATAGGAGTAGTTTAATATTCACACATTCACCAATCTCTTCCCTGTCGCACCTGGAGACCAAGGATTGTAGCAAGTAAACAATGTATGTTACATACTAATTCACACATTCACCAATCTGCTCCCTGTCGCACCTGGAGACCAAGGACTGTAGCAAGTAAACAATATATGTTACATACTAATTCACACATTCACCAATCTGCTCCCTGTCGTACCTGGAGACCAAGGACTGTAGCAAGTAAATAATGTATGTTACATACTAATTCACACATTCACCAATCTGCTCCATGTCGCACCTGGAGACCAAGAACTGTAGCAAGTAAACAATGTGTGTTACATACTAATTCACACATTCACCAATCTGCTCCCTGTCGTACCCGAAGAAAAAGAACTGTAGCAAGTAAACAATGTATGTTACATACTAATTCACACATTCACCAATCCGCTCCGTGTCGTACCTGAAGACCAAGAACTGTAGCAGTAGCAAGTAAACAATGTATGTTACATACTAATTCACACATTCCCCAATTTGCTTTCTGTCGTACATAGAGACCAAGGACTGTATCAAGTAAACAATATATGTTATAGACTAATTCACACATTCACCAATCTGCTCCCTGTAGCACCTGGAGACCAAAGGCAGAAGCAACTAAACAATGTATATTACAGACTAATTCACACATTCAACAATCTGTTCACTCATCCTTCTTAACGAAAACTACTACTGATATTTACCCATGCTTCTTTCTCTGACAGATAGTGGACCAAAGCCCTTTTGATCTGTTGTTCTCGTGGCGAAAGAACAGCTTTCTGTCGATAAAGTTAAGCGAAAATTCAAATTAATTCAGTAATGGTATATTTTTTAAGATACACAGTATTGTTTCTTTTCAGTTAAGTTAGTGTGTGATTTCACACATATAGCTAATATTAAATTAGTAATAAGACGCAAAGGTACATAAAGCAGTAATAGGGGGTAAAGATAAGTCATATAAATATCGTGAGGGAAACTGGAAAAAAGTAAAATATTTAGGTAAAAAAAGTAAACTCTGACAACTATTAAAAAGAGGGAACTTGTAACTATGTGAATAGAGTTACGAAGTGCTAGCGAAATATTTAAAACCAACAGTCTAAAAATTATTATAAAAAATTAAAACGACTGCAGCAACTTGTGGAAGACAAAAGAAAAATCTGAACTGCTATTTTCACCCACCTGTTATTTTGAGCCGTAATATACAAATAAAGAATCAATTGAAGAAAAGAAAAAAAAACATTTGCAGTTTACTTAATTTTTATAAGAATTACGGAAATTATTTGAAATTTTACGAAAACTGTGATTGAATAAATATCGAATTTTATATTGCTAGGCCTTCTTTTATTTACAAGCTTTAGTGACCAGATGACGAGTTTAAGCCTAATCAGTCTAACATCTTTAGACATCCTGAAATTTTATGAATAACTCTTGAGCGCAAGTTATCTAAATACTTCAGGGTTTGTAACCAATTGTATAAGCATAATTGGAATATCCATAATCGAGGCCCACTGGGCCCGAACCAAGGACTCATATCCTAAAGAAGCCCAGGGGAAAAACCAAACTGTTGTCACTTGTCGTTTGCACTTTTGAATGACGTCTTTGTTTTACGCCTTTACCAAAAATGTTATAAAAAAACTCGTATTTAGACAATTAATAAAATTATAATATTTGTAGCTTTGAATTTTAATAGTGCGATTAAATTTTATTATGTTGATTAAATTTGAAGGTTTTTTTATCATTTTATATGAGATCGTTATCTGTTTTGGTGAAAAATTTAAATCAAAGCTCCTTACGCGAGATCGCGCTGACCTAATGTGACACATTTCTTTTTTTGGTTGCTTAACATTTCTTTCGTTGTTGTTGTTTTTAATCGTTTTTGATGTACATGAGTTTTGCTATGAATTTGATCATTGATATTTAAAACGTATATGAGGAGGAGGAGAGACCATGCTTGGTTAATTCAGTTCTGGTGATAAGCTTTTGCTGACTAGATCAGTTATAAAGATTATTTTAAAGCTATAACATAATATTTCCTAAAAAAGGTGAAACACGGTATAGTTAGACTATTAGTTTAAATAACTGAAAGAGTTTTCTTTAAATAATTTAAGCCACATTCCGTGATACTGTTACGTCTCCGTTCGTTAGTTAATTTTCCGTAAATTCTTATCAAAGAAACTTTACCGATAGAAGTCCTTTCTTTGATAAAACTGATTTATTCTTTCTGAATATAACTTTGCGATACACTTAATTTCAACAGTCGCGCTATAACAAACGCTATAATTCTCAACGAACATCTCACGTGCTCGACTCAACAATACTCCGTTCAATTACACACATTGTTCCCGTCACGTTGTGACCGTCTTATATATACCACCTTATCCCCAATCTATTAGTCTCCCTACAATTCACGAAGGTTCGAGAAGGACGTGGCGTGATATTAGTCACGTGACCTCGCTGACGCAACAATACGTATAAGCTTAAAATTCCATTTTATTATCTCTATAATCATAATTTTATAAGTGAAATTAACAGAGTAATTCTTTCTCAAATCATGGACCTATTAATGATATATGGTTTTAATTATCACGCGTTAAAACAGTGCTTTCAATAAAACTGCCTTAAAATATGTTAAACCGATTAGGATTTTATCACATTTCTTACCATACTCAATCTAAAACAAACCCAGGTTTAAAGTTAAATAAGATTTTCACAATTCGAACAACATAGAGGCAGTAGACATTGTATGTTCCCGGAAATGACAAGAATATATTTCATAACTTGTCGTGTTTTATTTGTTTGTTTGTTTTGAATTTAGCGCAAAGCTACACGAGAGCTATCTGCGCTAGCCGTCCCTCATTTAACAGTGTAACACGTCATGAGTTTCTAGAAGGATCATGATTTTTCCTGGCAACTCTAGTCTTTTCTAGGCGCCCTCTATTTTATTGTATAAGCCCGGTAAATAAAGCGGAGAAAAGAATTATAGATAGACAGAGACAGATAATTGAGTCAAGTGAGCGGTAGTGACGGTAATATAAAGTGTGTGTTTTGTTATAGAGATTGCAAACGTATTGACTGTGGAAATTCTGTGTATTATAAAGTTGTATAGAGAAATAATAAACTAGTTTTAGTTAAGAAAGGACTTGTATCGCTGAAGTTTCTCGAAAAGAATTTCTACGGGAAATTAACAAACGAACAATAATATAAGCCTAAAACTTTTAGAAAACTCAAAGGGAGTGTGGTAAAATGTTCTGGCACATTGGGAGTTAGATTACAAATATGAAATACATGAGAAACGTAGAGAGTTTTTATTTTAAGATAAAGATCGAATTGGACAGTGTGTTTGCTAAAGCGGTTACTTCGTAAAATGAAACGGATTTGTTTTACGTTTGTTAACGTCGGTTTTAACGTAGGCCTATAGCAGTGTACAAGTATTTAACTTCGTAGAAACGTAAAGGAGGAAATAAAGTAATTTAGTGTTACTTGCAAGGTGAGCTGGACGTTGAATTAATTTTAGTAGATAATTGAAAAGAAACCGCCAGCGAAAGAACTACGTTACTACAACAGGTTTATAAAAGAACTACGTTACTACAACAGGTTTATATTGTACCACTGTTACTTAAAGTTAAAATGAAAAACTGAGATTTCAAGCACAAATATTCGATCACGCAACAAGTAGCTACTGATGAATCAAAAACATACACACCTGGTCGAGATATCCCAGCAATGTCTGCGCATGCCCATGTCCAAGCAAGTGTTGGACACTTCTTTCGTGAAGTTTGAACGAAGTTAGTCGGTCTTGTATCCCCTGTACCCAAAGACAAGGCTTTAAGTTTAAATTAATATATATATATATAATAGAAGAGACTCTCAAAAATATTTGCGGTCAAATTAGTATCTTTATTGTAACAGTACTTCTTTAAATACAGGATTTCTAGAAATTAGAATAATACAAAAAAGTTCTGATCGCAGACACTGAAAATGAAATCTATAAGTCTCACTTTTTTTAATACCTAACATTAGTTAAGCCTTTATTAAGTATATCCTACATTTGATAAAGACAAAAGATATACACTGTAACTTGTGTACGTTTTTACTTTAGTTAAATTAGGGCAAAACTTTGTTTTGATAAGCTATTAATATGTTGTATAAAATGTCTACTAAACTATATTTACATCCAACTTTCGTTTACATTCGTTGAAATGAAGTGTGCACGTATTTCCAGGTCAGACAAAACCTGTTTAATATCGAATTTGTTTTTAAAACTTCATTTCTAGCTTATCCACGTCATACCGAACATGCTCGCCCTTTCAGCCGTGGGGCGTTATAATATGACGGTCAATCCTACTATTCGTTGGTAAAAGAGTAGTCCAAGAGTTGGCGGTGGGTGGTGATGACTAGCTGCCTTTCCTCTAGTCTTACACTGCTAAATTAGGGACGGCTAGCGCAGATAGCCCTCGTGTAGCTTTGCGCGAAATTCAAAAACAAACATTTCAGTTTTAAAATTATAAAATGTAACCTCTACACTTAATTTAACTATTAAATACCTCATTTAAACTGAGCAACTTAATCGACAGTAACTTGTTTCGAAATCAAAATGAAGAACCCAGCTACTTGTGGAAATTCGAAAATAATAAACGCATAAATTAATAATATTTTATAGTTACGTTCAAAAAAATGAAGTAAACATCAAATTTTGATTTTTTTCTACTTTCTATGAGGCGGAATGTTTTACTACAAAATTAACCAATAAAAAATAAGTTAATATAAATCATAGGTTCTTCAAAGTATTTTTACTGCAAGCTTGTGCCTTTTTTTTATTTCGGAGGTTTTATTACATACGATCTTAATTGTTACACACACCGACTTAATTGTTGCATTCTGACTTTAACGTTACGTATCAGCTTAATTGTTACACACACCGACTTAATTGTTGCATTCTGACTTTAACGTTACGTATCAACTTAATTGTTACACACACCGACTTAATTATGGCATTCTGACTTTAACGTTACGTATCAACTTAATTGTTACACACACCGACTTAACTGTTGCAT